ACATTGCAGTCTCTTCCTGAATTTGTGTTACATAACCGGATGAGCTATATTTTCTACGCGAATGCGGACCCGCGCATGCTCAGTTTATTATCAGCATGTTGTTGGGCGCGGTAATATATGATCTCACGTTTACTGCTAACTGGAATGAAATCTGCTGGTTGGATATTTCCGCCACTTTTCCTTTTCTGATTCACGCAAATAAAACGCACAATCAAAAATATGCCCATTTCACGCTCGATTACTCGGCAATATTTCTTGTAACATTGCCTGGTACTAGGAGAAAAATAGAATTACGTCCTCCTTAAACGAGGATGGAATTAAAGGCCATTATGATGGGATGATACATACAAATTCACACCCCCATTATCTGTCGTGATTCGACGAAAAAGAACCGTTAATTCGCCTTGGCTTGCGTGAGAATCATTCGTCTGCCTTTCTATCTCCGACGACGCCACAACGGAAGTGTATCCCTATAACAGTTGAAGATCGGCAACTCGGCTTAGTGCAACCAATTGTGTCCAGGTGTGAAGGTACGTTTATATATATATGTATAATTTCTACACTGTGTCGAATCATTGATAAATAACACAGCTGGAAATTCGTTAAAGCACCTCAGTCACCACGCATGTAAAGATTACACACGTATTTTACACACATTGTATAGGTCGTATGAGATCTACACCCATATCGAACACGGAGCGGAGTGACGTCATTAGCGCTACAATCCCCCCAAGTCTTTATCTGCATAGTAGCGAGAATGCTTGTTTCCATATAGGCCGCTCTGGCCGCCGAGTAAGCAATGATGGTTTTAAAACGTTCTGTAGTTTACTATACGACTTACGGAACATGCATGTTATATCACGCGAACAACACCTTAAAATTGTTTTTCACCATATCGATTTTGTCCAAGCGCAGTATATTATCATTCTGTACGCAGCAGACGATAACTCCAAAAAACAGCCAAAATATAACCCCCCAAAAAGCCAAAATTACAACATCATTAATTTTGTCCATCAGGAATTATGATTTTACAATAATAATATACAATAATGCCCGTGGCTCACAAAATAATCATAAAGAAATCTTGGGAAACCTTTTTCATGCGTATTCATCTACACCTGTTGATTTGTCTATAGACCCAGTATATAATTCTCTAATCGCTTACAGCCATGCCTGAATAGCGCATGTAACGCCCAAGAAGGAGCGTTTCTGTATCTATGGTGATTGCTATGGTACAGACTTCATTTACTAAAACACTTTAAACGTAAATCATCTGGCCTCGTGTAATTACATTAAGTCGGCCTCGCTTTGAAATCCGGTGTGTATGACGCGTGATCATTATTGACGTTACAAGTACGGTAATCGCCTCGCTTTTACAACCACTATAAATACGGCAATGATTTTCTTTGACACGATAATTCATATTTCGCTACTTATTGTTTCTTTTCCACCACAATGGGAGTCAATATTACGAATACATCAAACCATGGTTCCAAGACATTATTCAGTGTTAATTTCAATCAGTAAAATGTAATCATCGCATTCAGCATCACAAAATATATCCAGCTTGTCAAACGGCCTAAAAATCACGTAAATGATTTTATTCTTCTTTTGCAAATATATCTCTCATCTGCACATTTTTTTCTCTCACAGAGTTCTAAATACACTAATCCCCAGTCACGATGACAATTGATGCTTTCACCGCGTGTCTTGGCTTCTGTATTTTTACTCTCGTGGTAACGAGGGCATCTGCTGACTGTGCCGGACTGACTGTAAGAGTAAACTTAATTTTTTGTAGAGCCACTGTGGCGAAATATTAGGATATAATTGTTGAATATCGTTAACAGATAATGTTGGCACCTAAAACCACTACATTTTTCCTTCTGTAAAAATAAAGCGGATGTTATTTATTTCTTTACTAATTCCACTATTCCATATTTAATTACAGAAACGTTCGATCGACGACCCCGTCGTATGCCATGGTGAGTGGAATTTAAGTTATTCGTGAAAATATAAGTGATAGGTGGCGCTGTTTTTGTCCCCGTAAATACCGAGATTTGGTTAGATGCGAATGAGAGGAGGACTTGTGTGCAATTAAGCCTGTATCTTCTCTCATTTTCAGTTTCTCTGTTAACTAATGTGTGAAAGCATTTATAAGTCCCGGAACAGTGTGTTGATATTGGAGTAATGTAATGCGTTGTTTTATGTATTGTGCAATGTTTATCCTGCCACTGTTATCCAAAACTTAGTAGCGTTCACGTACATATGTCAATATTCATTTTTACTTCAATCAGAATTTGGTCCCGTGTGTGTTGACAACACGGCCTATATGGTGTACACGCGCAAAGCTTCCTGGCTCGACGCTGAGCAGAACTGTTCAAGCCTGGGTGGAACACTCTACGTAATGAACTCGACTAAAGTCGACAAAATGGTTCGAAAGTTCATCATAAGCGAATACCTGGATGACCTGATAGTTGTCACTGGATACTGGACAGGTCTAAATGACATTGACGAAGAAGGTGTCTACAGGTGGCCAGATGGATCTGTGCTGGAGAGTGAAGACTATTCGAGGTGGGCGCGGAACCAACCGAATAATAGAAAAAATAGTCAAGATTGTGTACAAATATGGTAAGTAATACCAATCAAAATTATATTTTACTTCTTTCCATTCAATATCTCTCATATTAGTCATGATATCAATCCAATATAATATTAAAAAATAAATAAACAACCCAAAGTCCGACAATGTCTATTGCACTGTCCCCTAAACCTGGTTTGGAAGTTTAGCGCAAGGGTTCACAATTTACAATGAAAAGTTATATTAATATTTTCAAGTGGCAACGACATTTCAGATTTTGTAAGTAATTTTACAATTCCATTTTTCTATATAAAATGATACAATATGGACGAAAACATATTTATTTTTAATATTCTTCGATACTGCATGTTGTAAAATAATTTGGATCATGGTTTATTGTAAACTAAAAATGTCGCGTTGCAAAAGTAATGCACATGTGCAGTGATTGTTATTGTATGTAATAGAACAATCATTGCGCATGCGTAGTAGACATTGTTTCATGAACGAAGACCCAGTTCTGCAGAAGAATAATGTGTTCAGTTCATGATGAATCAAAATCCAATAAATTCATCAATATACAATATTCCAGGACTACAAATGTTACATGTTGCATGTTCTCATCCACATTGCGTATTTAAGTGTATGTACTTTTTCTGTACGCCATGAAACCATCGAGTAGTCGAAGAACTTATTTGTATGGTGGCGTATTTATGTTTGGTGGCGCCCTGCTGTAGAAATCATAACATAACTACGTGCAATAACTGTTTATTAATTCTCGTCTTTTAGGAAAGATGCAGGATATAAATGGGACGATGCTACCTGTACCAAGAGGAAACCGTACGTATGTGAATACCAAAGTAAGTTTTACGGCACATGCGTACATTCAATGCGATTCATTACAATCGTGTCATGCGTAGTGTGTTCTGGTATAAATAATATGTTAGTATAGCACAACAGATCATGTGATCATCGTTAGACTGTACATTAAGATTGGTAATGGCAGTATCACGAACGTTTAACACGTTAAACACGTTTTACGTCTTAGCATGGGGCAAACTACTGAACCTATCTAACAATCAGATCCGTCACATTGTTTTGTAATTGAACAAATCACGTTCTCCATAGAGTCTCACGTATTATTATTTTTTATCCGCATAAATTAGTATCACGTTTATCTCCAACATTTGTTCGTGGCCACATTCTTTTCACATATGACATTGTATAGCAATAATCAACTTATATATTCACAAAATATTAGCATTTCACAAAGACTTTCATGAAACTTTATAAATCAAGACAAATATTCGCGTCATATAAGCGCTTCTCGCTAAAGGGTGCGGTTTATTGGGACGCTGTATTCGTAAATTACACCACCCAACTTTCTTAGTTACACAAATCAAGAGCTGAAATGTTCGTAAATGCGTGACAGTGTTTTTTTTTGTCGCCTCTTAGATATATCGTCGTAATCAGATATCACACAATACTATCATAACATATGCCCGACGTGCTTAAACATATTACTATTTAAT